TGGCATATCGTATCACTGAGGTTGACTGCAAGAGAATGCCGTCGGGCCTTACATTCATCTATGTTAATATGTTTTGTAATTCACAGATTTATATAAAGATTGATTCTTCTTTACGGGTATTTCAAAGTTACTGAAGCATTAAGTAAGAAAAACATCAGTAAATTCGATAAGAAAATCAAAATTCACATTTGTGCGTCACCGATTTATGGAAGATGTTCCACCCACACGCACGAAGTGATCGCATCAAGCTTCCATGTGCGTACTGCTAAGGAGTGGAATTATTTGCCAGAGTCTATATTTCCTGAAGGTCCTAAAGAACCTGGGTATCTTCAAGGCCCGAGTGAATAGGTTGCTTATGGGTCGACGTGCTCTATCGTACGTCATATCGCTTACCACCAAGCGAGATAGTGATGAAACATCAGTCCCAACTAATATAAAAAATACTGTTTCTTAAAACAATAATTCTATAGGTATAAATAGCGATTTTCTGTATAATTGTGCTAATTATGGAACACCATAGAATCATCAGTTGTAAACGTACAATTTTTAAATTTCTGGATACCAATTTTGTGTATTATTTATTCAGTACTTTCAACACTATACCAAGAATACGAAACTATTCTCAAAACTTCCATTCATATCACACCTGTTGTCAAAAAAACTCCCTCCTTTTTCCTGAATAACAAATCTTCGATACAATCTATAGACACTGTCGCATTCATTTCAATTAGTAAGTATTCGCGGCAGGGGCGAAGAAGTATGGGGTTCAGAGGGCCTAGTATGAGTTTATTTTTACGTCGAATTGTTACCGCATTTAACCCCCTGATTGGTAGGTTAACTTAGATCTGGCCAATCAGAGCAATGAACGGCTTAAACGTGTCGATCACGTTAAGGTAATAAAAAACTTGCAATAGGCCCTCAGTCCTTTATCTTTCAAGTCAAGTGGGGGAAGGTTGTTTACGATGCGATGGTAAAACGATGATCTGGTAAATTGGGGAAGAATGAACCAATTTTATGGGAGTCAGCGATTTTTTTACACATTTTTCTTTATCGTTGGATCTAAAATATTATACTCTAGTACTTTTAGCAGGGTGGTTGCAAGTGCTTAAATGGTGTTCAGGTTCGATTCCAAAGCGGAAAATGTTTATAAGATTTTCATTATTTATAGAAATCTTACCTAATTCACAGTAAGGTGTCTTGAATTGAGTATGATAGTAACTTGTCTCTAATTACGTGGGAGTAACTTTACGTATTAAAAGTGAACGTCGGAAACTTTCAGTAAATATAACTGTGGCTTATGACTTATATATGTATGTAGCTCTTTTAGGAGGGAAGTTGATGTTTCATTGTGTAATGTAAAGTAGGTAACACAGTATGTAGTATAAACCTGACGAAGTTTTTACGAAGTTTCTTCCTTCTTTAAGTGTGGGAGAGCCATGTTTCGGCAAGAATGGGCCGGCTCGACCGGAGTGATACCACGGCCTCATAGAAAACCGACGTGAAGCAACGCTTGCGTTGTGTGAGTGAGGTTACAGGAAGCCAAATTATCCCCATCCCTTTCCTCAATCTCCTCTATCCCTGAATCCCCAAAAATCCTTATATTCCTATTATTACTATTTATGTTATGAGTCCCATGTAATAAGGGGTGAGCCTCCTGCCATATTATTATACCGGGCACAATTCTAGCCTCCGTGCTACAACTAATAATTTTCAAAAACCCAATAATCTTTAGCCTGACCCGTGAATCGAACCGAATCAGTCGCGCTTGCGAACACTCAGCTAACAAGGCAGTGACTTAGCTTCAATTCATTAAGATTTAAAGGCAAAATTTACAATAAATCTCTTTCGATTACATGACTGAGTTTAATATAACAGCAACATGTTGTGGTATACAAAACAAAATATTACAATAGCACTGCGTTACAGAAGGAGTTGCTGAATATTGTATGTGGCGGGTCGCCGCTCTGTAACAAGATCTTGCAGAGTAGCCTCAAGCACAGAGGCTGTTATGACGATTTTTGAAGTAGCCACCTTAATCTGTGAAGAATTAGGTCAAAGATTATTTATTTAACCGCTTAAATTCCTTATATGAGACAATAGAAAATACATTGTGTCTCGCGCGGATTCACGTTTTTTTTAAGGGGGGAAAATCATCGAATGTCTGCTCCCGCCTGGGTGAGGCGAGAGGGAGTGTCAGACTCTTACTGACTAAAAACCACCCCGTTCCTTCTCCTGCACGTCGAGCCGGAGCCCTGGTTAAACGTTAGGTTCTCCGCGACGCGGATCCACGTTTAGACACACGACGGGTAAATAATAGCTTCAACACTTGATGCTTAAACCATCACAAAAGTTATGTTTTAAAATAATAAATACCGCATAAAAAATGGTTTAGTTATTTTAGAGGTTTTTTTTTAAGAAAAACGTTGCTCCACTCTAGGATTATCTCCTGTGTCGTGTTTGCGATTACAAACATACAAGTTCACATACACATGACACCCCGACTCTTTGTGTGATCCACAAATTGTTGTTCCGTGCGGGAATCAAACCCACAACACGTTGCAAGGCAGCCGGTTGCCCAGCCACCGCACCAACCGTGCAGTTTATTGTGGACAGACTGTATTTTGTTCTACCTCTTTGGTGTGAATATTACTCAGACCTTATGAAGATGATCTGACTAAATCAATCAAACCATGGTAGTATTAAAGATAAACATGTCACCCATAACGTACTTTAGAGAAGAGAAGACTATAAACTGGTGCTTAAATAAACTTGACTTAACTTCACGGTTGGCGCAGTGCCTGGGCAACTGGCTGCCGTATAACGTGCCGTGGTTTCGATTACCGCGTCTGGTCTGTCTGTCTGGAAGTGTAATGTGTATGTGAACTTGTATGTTTATCTATGCACCCACGATACAGGAGAAAATCTTAGGACGTTTATAAAAACCCTATCTTTGGAATTGGGTGGATCCTCTGACTAGACTAGCCTGGTGTCTTTCAAAAATCTAGTCGCCTTTTGATCAAGTTCCCGCTTATAAAATACAAGCTACTTCCGCGCGGTTTCACACGCTCTGCTCAGCTCCTATTGGTCGTAGCGTGATGTTTTATAGCCTATAGCCAGCCTCGATAAATGCGCTATCCAACACAAAAATAATTATTCAAATCAGACTTGTAGTTACGGAGATTAGCGCGTTCAAACAAACAAACAAAAAACAAAATCTTCCGCTTTATATAATAGTATAGTATAAGATAACCACTTGTATTAAAGAATAATAAAACATACAACACTAACTATAGGTCCCTGAAAAATGTTACTCTCATTTTTTCTTCTTCCAAGCTACTCTATGCCACATAGTGCTCCCACACAGCACTGGCGACATAACTGTTCGATATAATATCACTGCACTTGCATATCCTGACGTTGCACAGACTATATACCACTTCGTTTTATATTGCAGTCTAGTACTTTAAGTCTAAATACTGGGTATAATTTCAAATCCCTTGTTCTAATCGACAAACAAAACTTTTATTTTAAATAGCCATATGTCATTTTTACTGCTGAGTAATAGCAGGTTAAATTTATTGCCACTTAATACACTGGGCACAATTTTAAACTCTGTGCCAGAGAATTTTTTCAAAAGTTTAACATAGACTTTTTCCGGCTCTAAAATGAAAGAATGACCCACGAGACAGTGTCTAATAACCAATCACAATAAATTTAAAAGTACTAAATCGATTTTGACGTACTTTTCAGCAATGAATAGAAAGATTCTTAAGAAAAGCTAGAACGCAAATAAAGAACACACCTCCATCTCCTCATTCCCAACAGAAACCTTTGCGGTTCCATTAAATTCCTACCTAAACATGGCCCCTAATCTACACCATGGGGTCACAGGCCCCCAAATAGCGTTACATTACCGGAATCGAATTAATTTGATCGCGACATTCCTTAATTAAAACAGCTCCCTATTCCCGTGATCGGTAATTACTAAACGATAATAACTTTGGTTCATTCATTCCATTTAATGAGTTTTACATGTAGTATAAATTGAGTTGTAGAATCGTTTATGAAATTGTATATTATTATTTATGTCTGTTATTAGAGATTGTTTTGATGGTCAAGTAGTCTCAACCACGACTGTCGAGGGATCCTGAGTTGTATTCTTAAGTTTGGTATAGAATTAATGGTCTTTTTCGATTTATCGAAATTCTTGGTAACAGTGTTGAGGAAATACGGTACCGTTTTTAATAGGACGAACCCACTATCACCTTCCACAATCTCCCGAAACCGCTGCAACTGCTATCAACCAGGTTCTATAATAGATACAATCATGAAAACACCGGAACACTGAAGTCTGGTTCGTCTCAGGGACATGACTGTCTTGGATCCCGTAAGGAAATAAAGCAGAAGATATTATTAAAGGAGTATGGTACCCTTTTATGGTAATGGACTATGATATGAGATTCATAAGAAAACTGGCGAAAGATGGGTGATGCATCTAAAGATCTCTGCCTTTTTCCAACCTACAAATCTAAACTAATTCCAAAATTACACGAAGTTAACATAATTTAGGTAATATCCAACAGTCTTGAAATTACAGGCCTCTAGGATACCTGAAATTATTAAAGTTTATATGAAATTCTAAGGCTTACGTAACACTGATATGGGTACAATTATATTGGTTATGTAAACTGACTGCCTCCGTTGACTAAACGATATAATTGTAACAGGTGACTGGACGTCGCATTACTACAAATATTTTTTTAGATTTCGTCCTAAATCGAGTCCTAGGTTGTAAGTAAGAAAGTATGGTTTTTTACAATTTACTTTCTTACAAAAAGGCGACCGATAAGTTTGATATATCACGCCACCTAAATGAAGGATTTTTTAGTTTAGTCAGAATTAAATTTTCGCAGTCAAAAATATTATCATGCTAGGTTATAATATGCTAGCTTAGTAAACTACACACATACTTGAAATAAGGTTAAAATGAAGAAATAACATTTTTTTTAAACAATGTTTATTTAAATGTATAATGATTTACAAGAACCTGTACTTACATTAAAAAAGTGACAGTTCTATCACAAATGATTTTTGTTCTTTAAACACTTAACAAATTTTTAATTCATGACGTTTCATTATTTCAATAATTTGTGGCAAGATTTAAGTTTGAGCTCATTCACCCTCCAAGTATCACTCTTTTCGACCTCGCGGGTTACTGCGGCTCCGGCTTGAAGCAGCAGTAGGAACGAAGTAGTTTTTAGTTAGTCTCTTATTGACTCTGATACTCCCCCCTCACCCAAGGCGGGAGAAGTCATTGGATGATTTCCCCCACCTACACAAAAGACCCGTTTTCTTTAAGGGCTTTTACGCCATTCAGACTAAGTACACACACAATCCACCTTAACAAACTACTTTAAGAACCACAGTCTAAAAAGGTTGGCTCAGAAATATGGATTTTCGGCTAAATCTTCGGATACTTCTCTTGCCTCTTGCTGTTCTTTTGTCTCGAGGTGGAGACGCTCTGTTGGGTGGGTGCACCCAGTCTGGACATCTGTAGAAAAAAAAATGTGATTTTTAGGTTTATTTGTAGCAAATATTCCAGAATGCAGGAGTTTGAACGGATGTTTAATATTCTAGAATGCAGGAGTTTGAAGGGATGTTTTTAACTCAATCACATGAGAAAGGCTTAATGGATTTGGATGAAATTCTTATACTATTAATATAGAGGTACAAAACTGAAGAGTTTGTTTGTTTGTTTCAAAGTTCTAATCTCGGAGATTACTGGTCCCACTTGAACAATTATTTTTGTGTTGAATAGCCCATGTTGTCCGTTGTCAAGAAAGGCTATTGGCTTTCATACATCACACCCGATCAATGTGCGCTGAGCAGAGCGCGTAACACCGCGCGAAATAATCTAGTTTGTAATTATACAGGTATCACAGTAAGGAATATTTTAATGATTATTAATAATATAAATTAATAATCGTGAATATTGTCCACTAAAGACATAGTGGATCTCTCAATCAAACACACTAATATGTTCTCAGAAAACCGTTATTCTTAGCGAAGGTGACAAAAAAACAATTGCTTCTGAAGAAAAAAATATTTATATTAGCAGCCAGGTATAGTGGATAGGTACCTACTATGTATATTATCCTACGTGATATTTATAACAATGTTTTAACAATTTCAAAGTAAATGGTTAATATTTCATGAATGACGATGATTTTCCTCAATGAGATACCATCGCAACAGTTTTGGTTTTTACGTTGTACCGATGTGCATAGATGCGTGACTGATTATGCCTAAGTACCAGTGTGTGTAATAAATGTAGAGGAAAATAAATTATCATACGTCAACAGATCGTGATAGTTCACTGGGTACCGGACTATGGAACCTCGTCAACAATACTGGGCGCAACACTTCCGAAACGCAAAAAGAAATTTTTATTACAATTTTAATCATTTTTGTTTTTAACTGACTTCAAAAAAAAGGGGAAGGTTCTCAATTCGACCGTATAATTATATGTTTTTTTTTTCTATGTTTGTTCGCCGATATCTCCGTTGTTTTTGAACCGATTTTGAAATTTCTTTGTTTGTTGGAAAGGAGATAGTCCCAGAATGGCCCCATCATTAGGAAATCATCGTTTTCGTGTTTGACTGCCTCGTTGGCCAAGTGGTCGCAAGTGCTACTGCCGGGCACGGGGTCTCGAGTTCCATTCCCGGAGCATTTCAGATTTCGGGCAAAGTATTACTGGCTTTTTAAAAAAATCTCAGTAGCAGCAGGGAATGTGGAATTGTGCCAGGTATATAGCAATAGGCTCACCCCCTATTACATGGGACTCATAACATAGTGAAAAGTGGGTGTTACATTGTACATTGGCATAATGTACACCTCTGCCTACCCCTTCGGGTATAAAAGGCGTGATGTTATGTTATGTTTTCGTGTGATTCATGCCAATCAGCCTTGAGCAGTTGATTACAACTATTATTACACAGACACATTTAATTCTTATAAAACTGGTTTTTTACCATCACCTGTCAGCGTTTTTCGGGAGCATTTCGTTTACGATACACACGATTTGCCATAATCGCAATATTTGCCAAACTGGAGACCGCGGTTTAAGGTTCAGATATATCACACAGTACTGTTATCCGACCTCTGACAACTATTATGTAGAATCAGCTCTTATTAGTACTAATGACAAGAGTACAGGTAGTATATCTATTCTACAACCGGCTTAAAACCGTTGTTAATCATAATGATTATAGACCGTGAATTTGAGACTTTGCGCTTAAGACATTAGACGCCTTTTCGTTTGAAGTCTGACGCCAGCGGAGTATTTATTATCAACATTCTTTTATAGGCAATCAAAGACTTTTACCCGTTGAAATTCACCCCTTTTGTTCATATAAAAGTAGTATCTAAACATTGGAAATAAAGTCTATAATGTACTTAGTGGAGAGCGGTCACCGGTGACTGCTTGGGGATGTATAGTTTAACAATCGACACATCCAATATTACCGAAACCCTTTGCTTAGCAATCATGCTTGCGATAAAACGACGCAAAATAGTGACTACACTACATAAAAAAATCACACAAAAAACTCACGCAAATCTATTTCGAATAACAATCGATTCATCATTTTTTGTTTGTTAAACTAACATGTATATATACTAGCAACATTCTGTTACTCCCGCTAAACTAATATTGCCACAACAAATAAGTAAACATTGATCTTTTGGTCCACCTTGCGTATATTCAAATAGAGTATAAATATTTGTATTCACTAATAATATTATTGGCTAATGCGTACGTCAGATATTACTTAGGATTTCTGTAGTATTATTTTTTGTTTTTAAGAACAGTATACGTTTCTATTCGTTGGAGTTTTATTACCAACTGGTATTAATTAGTCAGTAATGTAATTCATTAATTATTATTTATATCAGGTTTGCTTCTAGAGTTTTCTTTGTATATTTAATATTCTATTGTAGGTACATTGTTTTGTTGCATCGTACTGATGAAATATACTTATTTTCCTTTCTTTCTTCCTTTAGTTTGAACTAGAATTTGCCAGTAATTTTCTGTTATGCCGATAAGTTACCTAAACATTTTTAATGAGTACTAGAATACAAAATAACATAATTTTAAAGACTGCCGATTAAGGTGTCTTGGCTTCGATTCCCGGTTTGGACAAAGTATTATTGGGTTTTTAAAATAATTCTCAGTAGTAGCATGGAGTTTGGAATTGTGCCCGGTATATGGCAATAGGCTCAACCCCCTATTACATGGGACTCGTAACATAAATTGTGAAAAGTGGGTGTTAAATTGCACATTGGCATTAATTGCCGTAATGTGCACCTCTGCCTACCACTTCGGGGATAAAAGCATGAAGTTACGTTATAATTTTGACTACATAATTTAAACAAAACATACTTATTGATTACACTTCGTTTCCTAAATTTGTGTCGAACTACAGGCTTTCGACCTTATCTGTATTAAGGTAGAATAACTAATTACATGCATGAAAGCATAATTTAATTGACCACTTAATACCATGTATTTAATTAATTCAGGCATGTTTACGAATCGACAGGCGTTTGATTTTTGAATATTTTTGAGCATGCTCAATAGAACGCCGTTTAGCATTCTATTTCTGATTGTGATCTGATTCCATTTTTTTATGGCATAAGCCGGTAAACGAGCAGACGGATCACCTGATGGAAAGCAATCGGCGTCGCCAATGGACACCTGGAACACCAGAGGCGTAACAAGTGCGTTACCAGCCATTTGGGTATTAGGAGTTTGAGGATCGTTGGGGATTCAGGGATTGGGGAGATTGGGGAAGGGGAGGATATTTGGGCCTCCGGTAGCCTCACTCACACGACGAAACACAACGCAAGCGTTGCTTCACGTCGGTTTTCTGTGAGGCCGTGGTATCACTCCGGTCGAGCCGGCCCATTCGTGCCGAAGCATGACTCTCCCACACTTAAAAGTATCCATACAATAAGTCTTACTTTTCAATATCAGGCAATAGTTGTCCCTTGCATCTGGCCTCCCATTTTGACCAGTATTTGAATCCTTCTTGCTCGAACACCTTCACTGCGCAAATGCCATCGTCTTTTATGTCTTCATCTAACAGTGCTGAAAATGGAGAGAATAAGATAATTAAACAATTGGACTTGAACTTGACTTTAATTGAACTTGAAAAATATAACATAACATAATATCACGCCTTTTATCCCAGAAGGGGTAGGCAGAGGTTTTCACTATGTATGTTATGAGTCCCATGTAATAGGGGGTGAGCCTATTGCCATATGCCGAGCACAATTCGAGACTCCGTGCTACTACTGAGAATTTTTAAAAACCTCACTAATACTTTGCCCGACCCGAGAATCGAACCCGAGACCCCTTGCCCGGCAGTCTTACTTGCGACCAGTCGGCCAACGAGGCAGTCGTTGAAAATTTTATTAACCTTTTGATGCATAAAAGTGTTGCGAAACACACGACGCCATATTATATCTATGACGTCAAGCAATGCTGCTTATGAATATGAGCTCGTCAAACAGTTACTTAATAAACCGTTAAACAAATAATTTATTTCATAATGTTTCACTAGAGTTATAAATCAGTAGTCTTTGGTTCACATAAATAACATTTTGGCAGGTTCTTTTTTTAATGTTAGGTACATATTATTTCTCCACGGACTCTTGGTCCGTGCCCTTGTCATATTTTTTTACAATACGTCTAATCAATATTTAAAAAGTACCTAGTTACACACAGCCATTAACCACATTTATAATTATTTATTACTACAAAAATAAATTACATAATAATTAGTTGATTATTATTTTGACAGGTTCACACTACATGTAGGTACTCTGGTCTCTACTTATAATGATTAGCTTAAATTCTGTTACATAACAAAGTGTACAATAGGCATGGCGACTATTTTTTAATTTTTTGTCCGTCTTTTAGATATTTTAAAAATCTTCGATACGTATTTTTTCTTTTTTCTCGTATCCAAAAAAACATGTAGATATTTTGAGTTAAAATGACGCGTGACGTCACAATTAGGTACGATTTCTCCGTAAGTGTGACGTCAACACCCCCCACTCCCTAACTTTAATGCGGAATAACTACGTATTCTTCTGTTAATTTGATAAAACAAAAAATACGTGTCTGATATTTTCGTGCGATCTTAATGACGGACTAATTACTTTTTTGATTTTTTTACCCTGTCGACACGCCTATTCAGACACACACCAAGGCTAACATTGTCCGTGCCTATAAAGGAGTGCAATCATAGACCTCTACCCACATTTTAGAAATTAACAAAGACTTCTTGAATTAAAATGTCTGGACTTACCTTCGCAAGTAATATCACACTTCCCACCTTTCTTGCCTTCCTTACACCATTCACTTCCTATCTGAAATTATAATGAGAACATGTTGACAAAACCAGTTTTAGATATCGCCCACTTGAACTCCTAATATTAATGTTAGTCAGTGCAAATCAAGTTGTGGATATCATCACTGTAAGTCCTTATGTAAGTCAATACAGATCAAATTCTTTATCAACTAGGTAATACACGGAGCCACTACGAATCATAAGAACTTAATTATGATCCCCAGAAACAAAACTATCAATGTTAAAAGATGGCAAACTTATTTTTAACATAACATCACGCCTTTTTATCTGCGAAGGGGTAGGCAGTGGTGCACAATACGGCACATGCCACTTTACAATGTAACACCCACTTCTGACTATTTATGTTATGAGTCCCATGTAATAGGGGGTGAGCCTATTGCCATATACCGGGCACATTTCCAGACTCCGTACTACTACCGAGATTGTTTTAAAAACCCAGTAATACTTTTCCCGACCCGGAAATCGAACCCGAGACCGCTTGCCCGGCAGTCGCACTTGCGACCACTCGACTTATTTTTATCCAACCAAAAATCGTGTATAGAATCTTTTGCAATAGTGACCTCCAATTTTCTCTTGTGCCTTAGGTGCATTTGCATATTTTAAATCTAGAATCTTTTAACATTAAAAGCGATGTTATTAAATAAAAAGTACTAGGCTCACATAAAATAGAAGTACTTACTTGGAACAGTCCATAGTACTTTCTCCTAGAACTCTTCACTACAAAAGCTGAGGTATTTCTGTCACTCTCCTGTTCTATTAGGCATACCCCTGGAAAATAGAAAGTGATTAGATTAATGAATTAATGAAGGGCTCTGCTCTTATTGAACCTCTTTTAAAAATAATGAGAAATGAAATCTTGAAACCTAGAATTGTATTGTGAACCTGATTAAAAAAGGGATAACCTATGAAATTTCTTGCTCGTTCTTTTCAATAGGAATTTACTCTTTGGAACGAGCAAGCAATAGCTACATTTAGAGGACTGACCGAAAGACTGACATTTTTAATATTTTAAACTGTCTAACACCAAGCGGTCACCGGTGACCGCAACCTATTGTTCTATAATTGTGTCTATAATGACGGTACTCCACGAGTTAATAGTTGTTTGACATTAAAAAGTGCCTTCCTGGTCTAGTTGAAATATTTTATCATCGTTTACGTCATTTTAGAGCATAAATCGTACTCAAAAGTGATCATGCGACATATCATATCAATATAACATCTTCAAAACTATTCATTTCCGTAAGAAAATACGAAATACGTGTTGAATGTTTTTAAATAATCTACCAGACGGACATTAAAATAAAAATTAGACATCTACCCTATTTAACTCGTTGAGTACCGTCATTATAGACACAATTAAAGAACAATAGGTTGCGGTCACCGGTGTCCTCGCGGTGTTTGACAGTTTAAGGTAATTTACTAATCAATATTAGAGTATTTTTTTTTAAGAGGGGAAAATCATCGAATGACTGCTCCCGCCTGGGTGAGGCGGGAGGGAGTGTCAGACTCTTACTGACTAAAAACCACCCCGTTCCTTCTCCTGCACGTCGAGCCGGAGCCCCGGTTACCCGTTAGGTTCTCCGCGACAATATTAGAGTATAGGACCCAAACATACACAAACAGGCCATGTGGTGACATCAGAATCCATTTATGACCACCCTTACTCTTCCCACGGGTATCATAAAAGCCGACTAAGGGATTACACATTTGAAGGAAACCAGACAGCTCTATTTAATTTAAACCTTTTGAATAGTGATCTCCAATCTGTTTGCCAGGCGTGGAGATTATGGCAAATCAATAGCAATAATGAGTATGATGTAGGTTAAACCTTTTGAATAGTGATCTCCAATCTGTTTGCCAGGCGTGGAGATTATGGCAAATCAATAGCAATAATGAGTATGATGTAGGTTCAGAATTAAAAGGTTTAACGTAACGTTATGTTCATATAATACTAGCTGTTGCCCGCGATTTCGTCCGCGTAGAATATGATTCTTGTTTATTCCTTGGGAGCATTTAATCGGAATAAAAGTATCCTATCACCTAAGTCAACTAAACACTAAACAAACATCCAAACATCTAAACATCCAAACATCCAACAATTCAAACAAAATAACTTTCAAATTTATAATAGGTAATATATGTCATAATGTATGATATGAAATTCTCGACAGGATGTTACATTTACCTAAGAATTAAACAACTCACGCGTCACTCACTACTCATAATATGTAATTACGCTTATAACAAATTATTATTTTGTTGACAAACCTTCGTTTGCTTTAGATAATACAAATTTTCTTGTTTTCTCATTAGATAGCGATTTGATTGGCGTGTTTAATTTTGTGTTGTATTTTTTACACTTGAATATGTGACATTTAAAATGTTGTTATTATACTTTTGGAATTAATTAAATCTGCACGAGACTGCGTCATTTAAATGACAAAACAAGGTTCTGAAGTTTTATTCTACTTCTTCAAGAGCCTATATTAAGAATTGGTTCAAATTATTTGCTGCCTCTGTCGTACAAGAATCACGCTTCGGCACAAATGCACCGGCTTGACTGAAGTGATATCACTACCTTACAGAAAACTGGTGTTAAACAACAACTTGCATTGTATTTCGCTGCGTCACTGAGGCCCACCACCAAAAGGCATCGTAGTTACAACTTCTCTCATATCCGATACATAGGATATGATCCTGTCTACTTGAGATTATCTTTGGGTGGCGATCAGTGATCAATTACCATCAGGTCTAGTGTCTTTTTTTCTCCTGTGTCGTGGGTGCGTTTACAAACATACAAGTTCACATACACAATGACACCCAGACCCGGAACAACAATTTGTGGATCACACAAAGTGTTGTTCCGTGCGAGAATCAAACCCGCGATACGTTGCACGGCAGCCGGTTGCCGAGCCACCGCACTAACCGTGCAGTCTATCCTAACTTTTTGCAAAATCTTGACAAGATATTAGAGATACATTCCAAAAATATGTATCACACTCTTGATATTCTAGCAAAACATAATGGCCTCTAAAGCGGTACAAATTAGGTTGTTTTTATATTGAAACAGACTCATTACATAACGCCGGTGGACAGTAACTATTTACTTGAAAACTGATGACTAACACCTCATTATGTGTGAAGTCCAGACATTGAATTGACCTTTGGTCAACATATATTATATACGTCTAATGTCTATGAACAATTGTACATACATTATATATAGAGCTGTATGTAGCGTGATTTTGTTAGGTTTTAGATTTACATGCATAATATAACATCACGCCTTTTATCGCCGAAGGGGTAGGCAGAGGTGCACATTACAGTATATAATGCCACTGTACAATGTAACACCCACTTTTCACTTCTTATGTTATGAGTCCCATGTAATAGGGGGTGACCATATTGCCAAATACCGGGCTCCAGACTCCGTGATACTTAATGTTTTTTTTAAAAAAACCCAGTACTACTTTGCCCGACTCAGGAATCAAACCCGAGACCGCTGGCCCGGCAGTCGCACTTACGACCACTGGGCCAACGAGGCAGTTAAAAATTTACATTGATTTTGTATTAAGCTATATACTTGTCAATTGTTTCAACTGATGAATCAAAGGTGTTATATTAATTGTCTATCTCTGCTTTTCCCTTACGACGGTAAAAATGACGTTACAGTTTAATTTAATTCGAAATTACAACATTTGTAAAGATACCATTATCCTTTCATCACATGATTATGAGTTTGGACTAAAAATTATAGTTAATATTTTCATTAAAGTGACCCCAAATTGGGGTCTGTTCAGCATCTAAGGCATCTCTTTCTATCCCTCTATGGCAAAAAAGTTCAATTATAATTCTAACTCCGTTTCCACACACTTAATATAGACTGAAAATTGCAAATCCTTCTAAAAAATTGAACGAATACAATCCTACACATATTAATTGTATAATTCCAATGTCGAAGTCATAACAATTTTTTACTGCATACCAATCACCATTACCGTCTTCAAACCTATACATAGCAACTTAGTATAAAATAACAAAAATATTCAGAAGGGAAATACAATGCATTAATTGGTCCAGAGGTTTCTCATTTTTTTATGGTACAAGCTGGTAAACGAGCGAACGGATCACCTGATGGTAGGCAATCGGCGCCGCCCATATGATAGACATCCACGTATTACAAGTGCGTCACCGGCCTTTTAGGGATTAGAAACTTGAGGACTGTTGGGGATTCGAAGATTGGAGAGATTGGCGAGGGGATAATTGGGCCTCCGGTAACCTCACTCGTACGACGAAACACAACGCAAGCATTGTTCCACGTCGATTTCTTGTGAGGTCCTGATTTCACTCCTGTCGATTCGGCCGATTGTGCTTAAGAATGCGGCTTTGAAACCTACAACGGCAAGTGTCAATGTGACTTCTTCCGAATCGTATGTACTTTCTAAGATTTTTAAAACACAATCGACAAATGGTAAGTAAAAATGTCGAGGGGAAACATGAGCATTTATAAACATAAAACCAATTATAATTTTAAAATCGCTCACCCGTATTGAGCTAGCGTGGTGATTAATGCTCAAATCTTCTCCGTGTACAGATAGGCTTTTGATCAGCAGTGGCCACTTATAGGCTGTTGATTGTAATACATTAAGAAACTATAAAACTCTATGAAACATTCAATTGTGACGTACTTAGTGGTATTTCCTTATAGATACTGAGTTCTTAAGCAAAACATAATTAGTAATATTGCGTAATGTCATGACTGATAGTAACCACCCAGTGACGGTTAAGCAGAATATACAGATTGTTTTGTTTTACCCATAGAAGTATCTATATTTATTTATTTTATTCTCTTTTCTTTCTGACTACCTCGTTGGCCGAAGGTCGTAAGTGCGACTGCTGGGTAAGGGGTCTTGTGTTCGATTCCTGAGTCGGGAAAAGTATTACTGGGATTATTTAAAAAATAATCTCAGTAGTAGCACGGAGTCTGAAATTGTGCCCGGTATATGGCAATAGGCTCACCCCCTATTACATGGAACTCATAACATAAATAGTGAAAAGTGGGTGTTACTTCAGTGTGCACCTCTGCCTAAAAGGCGCGATATTATGTTATATTTCCTTAACTAATGCCAGTCTGTAATGATAAGCAAAAACCCAGGATCAGAATAACCTTTCACAGTGGTCAAAAGATTTTTTTTCAGCTTGAGAGTATCATAACTATCATAAGTAATCATTTAAAAAATACTTTAGTTCGTTGAAATTTGATGGTATTCTTCAATTTTTGATACAATACCACTTTGTTATAAAAGTACTGGAGCGAATCGAATGAAATTTGGTATAGATATCGCGCATTGAGCTATAGGCTAACCTAGTATTAATTACTGTTTTTTTTAAGAGAATAATTTAATTTCAGAGTTTTTTTTTCAGAATATCACAAATTGAATGATACTCTTTTTTGTAAGTCCGTACTCTTTATTTACATCCTTTAAAATCAGATATACTTTATTTCTTTAAAAAAGTTAGCAACCCCAGTTGTACGTGCAAGTAACAAAAAAATAACGTCAATAGGTAACACGGTAACTATCCAACTGGCTCACGTAAAATATAATACACCATGCCACATCATCCTTACTAATATTATAAATCGGAAAGTGAGTTTGTTTGTTTGTTTGATTGTTCCGCTTTCACGCTGTAACTACTAAACCGATTGCTTTGAATTGCAATCTGCAGACGTAAAGTTAGAAGTCTGGATTAAATAATAGAGTACTTTTTATCTCGGAAAAATTTGATATTCTCGAGGAAAAACGAAATCATTGGTATAGATGGCGCTGTGTGTATATGTCACATAGGCTACTTTTATCCTTTTGTGACGCGAGCGAAGCCGCGGGTAACAGCTAGTAGTTTTTAAATCGACCAACACCTGAACACAGAACAAAATATAACAGAATAATTTATAGAAAATTCGACCTCTTTGACTGAATTTTGGTGTTACATTGTTTTCGCACAATCGAACCAAAAAAATTATGTAACTAGAGAATTGTATTGTGAACCTTATTGAAAAAGAGTAACCTATGGAATGTCTTACTTTTTTTTATTTTTTTTTTTTTTTAAATAAAAAACGTTGCCCCGCACTAGTATTTTCTCCTGTATCGTGGGTGCGTTTACAAACATACAAGTTCACATACACAATGACACCCAGACTCGGAACAACAACTTGTGGATCACACGAAGTGTTGTCTCGTGCGGGAATCGAACCCGCGACACGTTGCACGGCAGCCAGTTGCCCAGCCACCGCACCAACCGTGCAGTCAAATTACTGCACGGTTGCTGTTACTCGTTCTTCTCCATAGGAATCTATACCTTGGAATGAGCAAGCATCACTTAAATTTTTTTGTTGACGTTCAAAAGTGCCATAATGGTGTGATTGTAAATGATTTTGACTTTGACATTGAAAAAAGTATCACGCATCAAAAAAAAATCGGTAGTCATAGCAACCGAAACAATGGCGAATCACATAAGGAAAATCCGTTCACCGAATCATGACTCGTGATCAGTAATGGGAGAATACAATGGGCATAACTAACCATTATACAATACACCACGGCTACAAAACAAACTATACAGGTCCATTTTACCGTGACCCCTCTTTGTAGGATCTTTCTGCACATTCGACGGTGAGTTTATACTGGTTTTGCTTAACTTGATGTGTGGCGTATGTACTAGGCAATGTATTACTATTTTTTATTGGAGGTCTAATAAAACATGTTGGTGTGTTTGTAAGGTTCGTCCTACGAAATTACAAGTGTTATTTGAATACAATTTTGAGGTGAAAATAGATTGGGAGGGTCTGTGTGGTTGTTGTTAATACCCATCTCCTAGATTGGGCAGAGGGCGTGCACAGAAAGCATTCATTGTAGGAGGACTCCGGTATTATGATAATGTTTTTTTTTACTAGCTACTTCCCCGCGGTTTTACCCGCTCTGCTCAGCTCCTATTGGTCGTAGCGTGACGTTTTATAGCATGTAGCCTTCCTCGATAAATGCGCTATCTAACACAAAAAGAATTATTCAAATCAGGCTTGTAGTTCCGAAGATTAGCGCGTTCAAAGAAACAAACAATAATACAAGCTGTTCAGTTTTATAATATTAGTATTTTCCGAACCAAGATAAAGGATATGACATAGTAAAATAACTATTCTACAATTTATGCTTTAGTCTTATTATAATCCATTAGGATTACATCATTGGGATTACTCACACATGTTGTTTTGGTAATGGACGACTAGTCCATTACTGGATACCACGCTTATTTCCTTATTCCTATCTATCATTAAGAATAGTCTCAAGAATATTCTTGAGACTAGTAAAATCATTTAAAACTGTATCAGCATCGCCCCTCAAGGTACCGTCATCAAAGTACCAATCATTAAATTTGGAATTTAGTTGTCGAATAATAGGATTAATAGCCAAGCTAAAAATCACTGGCCCAAGGGAACCGCCATTTATTTAAGGGGGGAAAATCATCGAATGACTGCTCCCGCCTGGGTGAGGCGGGAGGGAGTGTCAGACTCTTACTGACTAAAAACCACCCCGTTCCTTCTCCTGCACGTCGAGCCGGAGCCCCGGTTACCCGTTAGGTTCTCCGCGACTCCGAATCGGCATCGGCCCTATTGGGCCCCATCTGTGGTGGTCTGATGGCTCTTTGAGGAGCGCGCGGAACACGACGCGCCGTACGCTGGGAATCGTCTTGTTGATAGCCAACGGCTGATTCCGAAAGGTTGTTTTATACTAGGGGGCTCACATCATGAAAAAGGTTGAAAAACACTACTATTCAATTCAAACTTGGCAGTATTAAAACAATACTCTCGCCTGTGACACAGGATTATCCTAGTACAAGCACCTAACCATGTGAGATCTATTTTACTTACCCAAGAAATATTTTTGTATCGGTGTACATTTACATTTTTGAATTAAGAATTTATTTTATTTTATATTGAAGAAATTTTAAGTGTGGTAAAGCCAGCTTCGGCACTAAATGAGCTGGCTCGACTAAAGTGATACTACGGCCTTACAGAAAACCGACGTGAAACAACGCTTTCTTTGTGTTTCATCGTGTGAGTGAGGTTACCGGAGGCCTAATTACCCCCCTTGCCCAATCTTGTTTACCGGCGTATGCCATTAATAAAAAAAATATATATTGTTTTCCCACATAACCGTTTTACGACTAGTTTCAAGCCACAGTGAGGGTTCATGGTTATAGGACGAGTTAATTTGATTCACAATTATTATTCATTTATAATAATATTCTTTAACCAAAGCTACATAATTATATTACAAATACACATGATCCGTACATAATCACATCGTCATTTGTTTTTCTTGATTACGAAGAAAAATTATTTTTATTATTCCCATCGCGAATACTACGATTTCAATGTTAATGAGTTCAAGGACCTATATTTATTGTGATACTCATTACATCTCACGGTTTCACTCAAAATATGAGCATCAACAGCCTATAAGTGACCACTGCTGACCAAAGGCCTCTTCTCACACGGAGAAGGTTTGAGCATTAATCACCACGCTTGCTTAAAGCGGGTTAGCGATTGCAGACTTATAATTAGAAATTATAAGACCAGCTTTCCTCACTCTGTTTCATTCACCGTTTGTCAGTGGTGTCTGAACTATCTTAGAGAGTACATATAACTCTAAAAGTCATATTGATACTTGCCGTTGGTAGGTTTTGAACTCGCACCCTCATGCATGAGAAGCGGGCGTTTTAATACTCCACAAATTAACAATGCAATATTATTATCTAGAACTGTCAAAACGTTTACCTAATTGTTTATAGCGTCTCCAGTCGCTGTATTTGATATAATGACTACATACAGACAGACGACAGATGTTTTGCTGTGCACCTTCAAGGATATTATCTGTGTGCACACTTGCACAGTAATTTACTACTGTTACATTATTGTAAACATTTATATTTGCATTATTAATACAATTTCATCGAAATCTAGTTTGGAGTTCCCTTATCCGACGAGAGGAGACCTTTGTCGAAAGACAAGCTGTTGTAAGAGGAGAGAAACCAATTGCTGAGATAATGTTAGAGTAGTTTTTAAGTTTGTTTATTTAACTCTGTTACAACTTTGGTTACAACTGTAATTCTTGTTATTGTAACTACAGCAATAAAGGCTTATTTTATTTTATTTTATTTTTATCCGACGAGCATGTCGCGGAGAACCTAACGGGTAACCGGGGCTCCGGCTCGACGTGCAGGAGAAGGAACGGGGTGGTTTTTAGTCAGTAAGAGTCTGACACTCCCTCCCGCCTCACCCAGGCGGGAGCAGTCATTCGACGATTTTCACCCTTAAAAAAAAAAATCTGACGAGCATGCTAGAAAGCACTGATGACTGTTGATGAAGCAATTGGCGTTCCATGGTCTCTGCCTACCCAAATTGGAGACAGGCGTGAGGTAATGTATGTCGTTTGTTTGTTTGAAGACGGTGATCTGCGAAACTACTAGATTGTCTTTTTTAAACTGAATAATCCATTTATCGAGGGAAGTTATAAGAATCGAGCAGCCTGTGAAACTAGTTAACTATACCTAGTCCTCTACTTTACTTTTTATTTGCAATTATGTTGCAATCATAATGTAACATAGTATGCTATGCTTTTGTATAAGAGTGGAAAATCATCCAATTTTCCTCTCCCGCCTAGGAGAGAGTGGCAGACTCTTGCTGACGAAAAACCACTCCGTTCCAACTCCTGCTTTGACTTGGAGCCCCATTAACCCGTTAAGTTGTCCTCAGCTTCAGTATCAGCCGTGCTGGGCCCCATCTGTGGCGGCCTGATGTATATTTGAAGCACGCGCGGAACGCGACGTATTGTACAGGTAGTAGGCTCTAGTAGGCTCTGTTAAGCTAAGCAGTCGCACCCAGAAACTGTTTTCTGTTCTACTACCAAACATTTACAATATATTCATCTACCAATTAATATCAATTTTGTCAGTAGTTACTATTTAACTCGTTGAGTACCGTCATCATAGACACACGGGCGCGGGCGACGGCGTGCGCAGCAGAACAATAGGTTGCGGTCACCGGTGTCCTCGCGGTGTTTGACAGTTTAATATGAATGAGAATTATTCTGATTCATAGATCTCTAGTTAGACTGACATAAGCCTTTCGTGTCGAATTGAAGTAAATGATTTTGACTATAAAAAATATTTATTAGTGTGAAATAGTTACTGTTACTCAGTATTGTTACTCTATTTTGAATAAATTTTGAAACTATATATACTTCTGTAATTATTTTCATCTTCATTTGAATAATTAATAATTCATATCACGCTTTAAATTACCATGAAATTGGGTACTCCACATAACAAACATCGCAGGCATCACTAACATAAAATGTAACATCAGTACAAGAATAATACAATTATCAAAAATTCAAATCATGTACTTACAATTGCTAAGAAATGTCCTTGAGAAATTATTCTTCAAAAGTTCACGAGTCAATTCGCATCTCTTGTACACTTTTGCTTGGAGTCCCAAACATAGCGTTAGAAATAAAATAATTTCAACGACACGTGCGCTCCTCATGGCGACCGGTTTCATACTGATAGTAGACTTGTTTACTAATATATATTATGCATGCGTACACGCACCTTTGACTTTTAGTTTGAGGAAACTGTAGCAAATGGTGCGATGCAATCGAAAATATTGTTTATTCTTAAGTGTATCTAGTTGTGGGTATTTTTTCGATAAAAATAATTATACAGATCTATTTTTAGTATCGGATTGTTTTTGTCTCCGTTATGACTAAGAAATAATATATTATTTTATTATCTTGCTATATTCAAATAATGAATACACACATAATAACCTCATGCCTGTTTCCCGTGGGGGTAGGCAGAGACTACGGAACGCCAACTGCTACAATTCTTACATGCCTCTTTATCTGCATCAACAGTCACCAGTCTTTTCGGGTATGCTCGTCGATAATCAATAATGAATCTTTTTTAACAAACTTCCCAAAAAGGAGGAAGTTATCAATTCGGCTGTATGTTTTTTTTTGTGTTTATGTTACCCGATTTCTCCGGCGTTTGTGAACAGATTTTGATGATGTCTTCTGCTTTGGAAAGGTCATACTTTTGGGGTGGTCCCATTTCCACCAGGTCAGGATCTGATGATCGGATCCCGTGGAAACCGAGGGAAACTTTTCAAAATGAGTGAGCGTTTGTAAATTTTTTTATATAGTATTTAAAACTACTACAATTTTATGAAGGTGTGGAGTTGATCTGATGATGAAGTCATCAAGAGACAGTCAAGGGAACTCCTCGAGGATTTGTAGCAATGACCCCGTGTTTGGGCTTAAATTATTTGTATTAAGAAGATCTTTACATCTAGATGGGATGTGAATGTGATTATCATTAGGGGCCTGTGGATGAAGTAGTATGATAGCTAAGGGAACTCCTCAACGGTTAAAATTCGCTACCTGGTATTTGGGCTTGATTAATTTATAGTGATGAGAACTTTACATCTAAATGTGGTGTGATTGTGATCAGGGGACTGATACTGAAGGAGTACGATTGCTAAGAGAACTCCTCAACGGCTGACAGTAGCTACTTGGTGCTTAGGTGCTTGGGATTTATAAATTTGTTTTGATGAGAACTTTACACCTAAATGGGGTGTGATTGTGATTGGGGGCCTGGTAATGAAGTAGTCGACTTCTTACCTACCACTGGGTGGATAACCTGTAAGTACGTATCACTAATAATGCTTATTTTTTGCTTTGTAGTTTTTAAGTTTTGGTTTTTTAAGTCAGTTTTTTTTTACTTAAACATACACAAATCTCACAACAAACTGTTATAGGTATTATTTAGTTAGGTCATAATCGCTAAGCATTTATGGCCATGCAAACTAAACGCGTATACAAAATTTCGGCTCAATTGATTGAAAATGCGTCTGTATCAAAATTTAGTAGCAAGATTCCACTTCTCAAACTTACATACATTGTAAATTAAACTGTCAAACACCAAGCGGTCACCGGTGACCGCAACCTATTGTTCTTTAATTGTGTCTATAATGACGGTGCTCGACGAGCTAAATAAAAACTTGCAAAATATTTATACTCTAATTAAGTACCGAGTGTATCAGTAGAACCATGAACTGGTTATCAATGCAGACATTTGGAAATACCCATATTATTATATAAATTAACTTTACCCCTAGACAATGATAACACAGGTTTATCTTGCATATGACTTTATTGTTCATGCTCTTTTATAATTAACTAGCTTCCATCAGCGACTTCGGCTGCGTTCCAAATGACCAACAATGCACCTAACTCATGTGAGGCGTTTGCCTATGAATGAATAAAATAGTAAATTGATAATAAAATAGTAATAGCTAATACCCTCGACCAACACCCGAGTAGGTTAGCTTTAGATGATTGGGTCAATGGCCTGATGCAGAAAGCAGCAATTCTGGACACGGCGCGTATTGTCCGGAAATTCCTTTCTCTGGAGTCCTGACCGTCGGCAGCTTAACTCGGCTACTTACTGCTTTATATATTTTTAAATATTTTTAAAAAATAAATATTTAAAAATATATTATTTAATAATATATTTAAAAATTTTTAAATATTTTTAAAAAATAAATATTTAAAAATATATAAGTCAATAAATTGTAATAGTATCTATTTATATGTGATAAGAACATGTTTTTGTATAACTACATAACCGTTTATAACTTGAATGACTTGGGAAAACCAAACAGCAATTTTAGAATGAAGATCAGACATGTAGGCAGTAAGATTTAGGCGCTGTCTCCACGAGCGAGAGAATCGCGGCGATATTATCGCCGTGCCACGTTTTTCTATACACTCCCTATGGAACCGTCTCCATATGGCGATATTATCGCCGCGATGCGACGAGTGGCAACGAGCGCGCAAAACGTCATTACATCGTCGCTAGCCCGCCGCGACTAGCAACGCAACCGCCGCGCGCACGCGGCGCTCTCGCGACGAGCGCGCGGCGGGCGCGCTGTCAAACGCAGCGTCATTTCAGCATTGCCTCTCGTTAAGCAAAGACGAATGTGTCCACCAACGGCGCTTTTTTTCCATTCTTAACTATAACAATAACTGCATATTCACTAGTGTACTTGCAGAAGCACCCTACAACACTATACCCATAGTAAATATATATATTATAGACTGAGACACTACTAATTTCGCTCTTGTCTGGCACGTAACTGAATTCTTTCGCAACGTGACGTCAAGGAAACGCGGCCATACCGTTACGAGTCACCGCGGAATCGCCGCGATTCCGTAGCGACTCGCGACGATACGCGGCGGAATTATCGCTCGTTCGTGGAGATTATCCGACGATATAAGGGCGGACTCGTCGCGATTTTCTCGCCCGTGGAGTCAGCGCCTAAGAGTTGAAAAACCTGCCGGACGTTATTGTACAAGGAAAGTGTGTTTATAAAAATACACCTCATGACATTACCCATCGCTTTTATTGGTCGCAAGATGTCTCAACTTCGTGTCCCGGATGATGAGGTAAAGTGTCATTGAATATTTGCCGGTAACACAAAAATTCTTAGTAACAGCACATATTCTAGAATTTGTCTTATCTTAAATGTCAGTCATTTTGAAATTAATAATTGATCTCACCGCAATCTCTAATGCAATCTTTGGATTAAGATCGACTTTGACATTGGTTGTACGGAGTTCCTGTCGTACCTGCCACAAATCAAGATCAATCCAAATATCCTACTAATACCTATTGCTTTACATAACATCGCGCCCTCTATCCCCGAAGGGGTTAGCAGAGGTGCACATTACAGGACTTAATGCGACTGTACAATGTAACACCTACTTTTCACTATTTATGTGACGAGTCCGTTGTAATAGTGAGTGAGCCTATTACCATATTCCGGTCACGATTCCAAGCTCCGTGCAACTACTGAGATTTTTTTAAAACCCACTAATAATTTGCCCGACCCGGGAATCGAACCCGAGACCCCTTGTCCAGCAATCGCCAGCAACCTACTAACATTAAAAATGCGAAAGATTGTACATTTGTTTGTTTTGTTACTCCTTCGCGTCAAAACGGCTGAAGAGATCGAGATGGAAATTGGAACAGGAGTAGATAATGGTTTACAATAACACATGGCTAACCTTCATGATCATTTATCCCACTATGACACAAACGGACCTGGCTTTTTTATGGGAGGAAAATCATCGAATGACTGCTCCGGCCTGAATGGGGCGGGAGAGAGTGTCAGACTCTTGCTGACTAAAAACCACCCTGTTCCTATTCCTGGTTCTCCGCGACAAGGCTGGCAAAAGCTAGTATTGAAGTAGGATTAGTTACTAATTTTGTCCATTATACTACTTAATATAAAAGACGAAGCCCAAAGGATTAGTTTTTTTTTTTTATATATATATACTTAATAGGTCGACGTTTGACCACCATCTCGCTGGTTTGACCACCATCATTAGTAAGCTGAAGTGGCAGTGGGTGCCACATTTGTTGAAAAACCGATAACCGTTGGGGTAAACGTGTTCTAGAATGGAGACCGCATCTAGGCAAACGTAGTGTAGGGCGCCCTCCAGCTAGGTGGAGTGACGACATCCGCAAGGAGGCTGGCAGTGGTTGGATGAGAAGAACTGAAGACCGAGCTCAGTGGCGTGCCATTGCAGAGGCCATGTCCAGCAATGGACGAACACAGGCTGATGATGATAATTACGATTACAAAAAAAAATCATTTTATTTGTTAATATTTTTTATTTACGAATGAAAATGGCATCACATAAATTACTTATGTACATTTTAAACTAATTAAAGCAGAACAAAAATGTTCTTTAAAAACATTAACTTAAGTGCGATTTTGCCGCGTTACGTTAATTACAATGCAAATAAAGCTCAAATACCATATAACGCATGTTATAGAATTTCAAAACTTATTATAGAGTAATAAAAGAAATAATATTGTCCTACGACGACCTTATACGATTATTGAAAACAAATTAAAAAAAAAACTTTGCTTTGATGGAATATGTCCTAGCCACTAGTAACCTAGGGCCTGTGCGAGTCACTGTTCTAACATAAACTAACAATTCGGTAGGCAATGCCTTTCACCCTTCAAAAAAATTCAGTCAATAAATCAAACGGCTAAATATACAGGGCGTTAATTAATTTACTAATTAAATCAGTTGGCTGCGACATATATAATATACAAATGATACTACCCCCTGATTATAGTTCCAAGTACAATAATTATAACCTCTAAAATTGCCTTTTACTGGTCAAACTGCAAAGTTTGATTTTAACTTTGACTTTGACAACCACGTATGCATACAT